CCCCCCTTTGGAATCAAACACACATCAGTTACAAAAACTGCATTGCTTTGTTACCTAAATGGCTTGTAAGTTGCAGCACATGCTATCGGAACTCCATCCATACGCCTCAGGCCTTACTTTTTGGTGGGCTTCCAGCAATTTCCAACTGCGGGTAAATGTATCTTGAACCTGAGGCATTTTGTAAAAATCACAAAAATAGCTGCTCAACCATGCTTATGTTATAGGATGGAAGAGTCAGGGTCCTAACACCCTGGGAGACCAATTCTCAACCAACAGGTATGAAAGGTTCTTGCATAAATTCCTGGCTCCCGTGGCCACCTGGTGCCATAATTCTGAGGTCGGTGTCTTGCGCCATGTTAAAGAGATTTCCTGGAGAATGGAGCTCAGAGCCTCATGTGGTTGCTGGTTTGATTCCATGCTCTGTATTTCTTTTCTTTCCTGCCTCCATTTCCTATAACTCTACCAACGTTCTCCTCCGGACCTGTCAAATAAACTATCAGCTCTCCTGTTATCATCTCGAGGTCTGCTTCCAAGGATGCTCAAAGTAGAGCCCATGGATGCAAAATCGTCCTTCTCAAGACATACAGACCTATGCACAATTACTCCTGGAATAAATATTTCCAGCAGGTCCCCACTCTGCATCAGGGGAATGACTCACAAAAATAATGGAATTTTAAGGGTACTGTTATGGTTTAGGTGTCAGATGTCCCCCAAGAAAGTTAATGGTAAAATGATTGGCTTAGGAGAGCCAACCTTATCAGTGCATTAATCCACTGATCTGGATTAACTGGGTGGTAACTGTAGGCAGGTAGGATATGACTGGCAAACAAACAAACAACAAACAAACAAACTGACCAAACAAGTACTAAGTGAAGTTAGAAGGTATTAATATTATAAGACCAAACCACTGGATTCAGCTTTGGGACCAGTGTGACCATGGAGCATGACTATTTCATAATGGAGGTAACTGGCTTCCTCATATAAAGTGTCTCATTAATTCTTGTTTTTATTTTAGAAATCTGATATTCACGTGTGGCATTACATTTTCACCTTTTTACCTACTGCTTATTTATTTGCTCATGTAAAAAAAAAAATCATCTGTGCAAGGCAAGGTTCCATCAGTATGCTACATAGAGGGCAAAGCAAATGGGAAAAAAAAAAAACTGGAACCACACTTTTCGTGCTTAGATCATGGAGAGCTGGGTTCATTGGATCATCTGAGATTTTTATTATTAATTCATTCAATTAACCTCCTGAGAGTGTGCGCCTTGTAAGGTCCTATGGAACTCCATGGAACTTCTTTTTACAAATCAATACGACAGCAGCAAATGTATCCACTATTCTCCTATCGTTCTCAAAATATTCTTCCAAAACTTGACATCTTCAGAGACAACTTAGCTTCTTCGTTGTTTCAAATAGCTTTTGTAAGAAAGTACTGTGGAATAAAATCAAATTATTTGGGTTAGAAATTCATTCCTAAGTGTCAGTAACCACAAAATAATATGTAGATAGGTAGACAGACAGATAGATAGAGAGATTGATGTGGAGGCTTTGGTGAAGATCAAAATTAGAAAATGGAATCACCTCGTCCATTGATTTATGGTTTCATCATTTTCTTAAACTGAGGGCAGCATATCAAAGGTATGGACCCCACGTGGTTATATCCTTCCCCATTGGGGAGTTTACTTGATGATATTTTTTTATTTACCAAATTATTATTAAAATACTATTATTTAGTTATCCTTGCATATGTTCATATTATTTACAGCAAACAATTAGGGTTTCCTCTTGTCGGACTGATCCACAGTTTCTTTTTTTTTTTAAATGGATTTTAAAATACCGACGGAGTCGGATTACAAAGAAACACTTATTCAACATATGGTCACATATGGAAATAGAAAAAAAAGGAGATGAAACACAGTGGACCGGACACTGTCTTAAAAACCGGAAGGCGTGGTTAGCGTGGTTAGCTGGGGTTCACATTCCCATTGTGAACGGATCCATTTCACTTCATCATTCTGAGTTAACAGTTCCCTCTTAAAAATTATCGCCCATTCCCATCCTAATAGTTTATGATTCTGTCATCGCCAGTCAGGAAACAGTCTTTTTTTGTGAACTTCATCATATCGAAAATGTCATTTTTAGTTTTTCTACCTGTAGATTTTGGTGTGCTAAACCTCCCACTTCTTGACTCTGCCACGTCTCTCGCTAGCCCACGTTTTGCCTTATAATTTTCACTTATCTTTATAATTTAAACTCATCTTGAGTAGGTTCCACCCCACTTCCCTTCCCCATGAAGCAGCCAGAGGGGGGAAAAAAAAATTCTTTACTGCTGGTACCTTCTGATTTTCTTGTTTATCTTTTCTTTCTCTCTTCCTCCCTTATACCTATGTTGTCCATGGTGATTTGCTTTTGTTATAATTTATTAACATTATTGGATAGTTGGGGCTTTGGGGGTGCAGGGGAGTGGAGTCATTCCACACGACTCATCCCCATCACTAAGATTTTTTAGATTAATACAACACAACGTGAGACTGGGGTTGCGCGTCCACCAGGAAATGGACATATTTGGTCACCACTAAATCCGGTTTTCATTGATTTCAATTACCAGATCTCTCTATAAAATCATATCTGGGTCTATTCATCTACAAGATTTTTAAAATACATAGAAGTATTTATCATGGTACTCTAACTACTTTTACTTAGATGTCAGCATGTAATTTTTTAAAAAAAAAAAAAAAATCTAAACATTTAAGAGCCTACCAAGTAAGAAATTCACAGCCTCAATTAAGCGTTCGTAATTCTCTTCATTTATTTATGCAACGTGTTTTCCTGTCAAAGGTGATTTACTGTGTAATTGGGTAGAATTTCATTTCAACTTGGAGCACTTTCCCCCAAATTACTGACACGTGGAAATGGCAGCAATTCCCCTAAAGCTTTGAAAACAATTATGTGAGAGGGGCCGATTCTGATTGACTCTTGAGTTCAACCATTCCGTACATCGAGCAGGTCAAGTGCTAACTGTATTTTCACACTGCAGCAAAATGTGGGTGGCACTAGCCCGCATTCCCATTTCATTGAGTTCAGAGTCACCCACGAGGCTCAATCATTGCTTTCTGACTGTCTTTCAGAACTTAGCCTCCACGCCACCTTTTACAGGAAAACTGTGACCATGTAAATTGGGTTGGGCTCTCTGCTTACATAATACATGAGCGTAGCGCATTTCATAATTCATAGGGGTGGCATGTTTAACATCCATCTGTCCACTGGCTTCTCCAGTCTCTGAGGACAACGGTGTTACCCAGGTTCCCTCAGGATCTCCAGCTCTTAGGTTTGCTAGACCGGAAAGTGTTCAAGACTTCAAAGTCGAATGCAGTTATGAATGACTGCAAAAAAAAAAAAAAAAATGCTTGTTCGGCACTATCAGGGCACACAATTCCAAGACACATTGTGTTACCAGTTTTACTAAAACGACATCATCTAATGAAATCAAAATACCCATCACAGTCAGGTATTGTCAGGTGCATTTTTTTTTGGAGCCCATGAACGTGACTAAGTGTAGAGACAGGAACTGCTCTTGGGTGGCATTTCTGATCTAGCTTTGACTGTCTCCAAGGTTGGAAAGGATGGGAGTTCACCACGCCAAACATATGTCATCTCATCTTTTCATTATTCCTCCCTACTTGGGTATCCATTTCCTCTTATATAAAAATGAGGCTGGTGCTTTGGTATTCATGCCCCTTGGTCATAGTTTACAATTAAAAGAAAAATCCAAACTGTGAGTTATTTTTTTTTTTTTGACGTGAGTTTCTTGGGATACACAGCTCTCTCTCTCTCTCTTATTATTTTCTTTCCCTTATTGCAGAAGGAGATTTAGTATATTTTTAGGACTTTCCACTTTCCAACTCAATCCTGAAACAGAACAAAACAATAGCTGTGGATCTTGGTTTCAGATTGTTTCAGCGAGGTTTTGGTTTTGTTTTGTTTGGGTGTAATCAAAAGAACCTCACAAGGATAGTGTAGGAGAGGGAAAGTTTATTTTAGATCATGGTTTCAGAGGTCTCAGACCAGAGATGGCTGACTCCTAGCCCTGGGAAGAAGGCGTGGCAGATATTGTAGGGAAGGAAAACAGCTCAGGACGTGACATCCAGGAAACACAAAGTTCCTTTCACCAGGAACAAAATATAAACCCCAGAGGCACCTCTCCCAGTGACCCATGTGCTCCAGCCACTCCCTACCAGCCTACAGTTACCACCCAGTTATTTTATATCAGTGGATTAACCCACTGACTGGGTTAAGCCTCTCATAAACCCAATCATCTTGCCTCTGAATGTTATCGCATTATCTCACCCATGAGCTCCGGTGGGGGACACCTCAAATCTAAACAATAACATATTTTTCTCTTTTCGCATTTTCACTCCAGGAAAAAAAATCATCTGATAGGTACAAGATTTTCATACTTCCTGACCACACAACGTATTGGAGTATCTCTTAGGACGTTACCGATTTAGGCAACAGACAATACATTTTGAAAATAAATTAACTGAACGTTTACTTATTTGGTAAGCTAAGATTCAAACTCTCAATTTTTACCAACAAATCTCACTTCTAGTGGGAATTTCTCAGAAAGGTACAAAATTGTTCATTTTTAGCTGACTCTTTTTTTCCCCTCTAGCTGACAGGAGTCTGATGGTCTCTATTTCCCAATTATTTCCATGCTGCAAGCTCCCAGCATACAATTTTCTAGTTTATTTATTTAAAGACCACTGTTCAATACAGCTAAAAGTACCATGGTGTAGTGAACTATAAATTAGAATTTAAATAGAAAATATAACACCTTTCAGGAGGTATTTTACTGGTATATTAATTCCTCTTGTAGCCTCTAGATAATTGGATTATAAATAGGCACATATAATAAACAACTCAATTTCGCTGCAGTTTAGTAATATTTTAAACAGCTTTCTCAGGGCCTTAGTCATTCAGTTTGGCTAAGTAAACTTGTAAGATGGTGTTGCAACCTACCAATTAATTTGTGGTACTTCCTTAAAAATAATAAAGAACAGAAAACACTTTTTGTTTATGTGCTTCTGGGAAGCAGTGCACTTCTTACGTAATTTTCTTTGTAGCTAAAATTAAGACCTGGCCGATTACTGATTCAATATAAGTCAGTATTTGAATCTTATTAGTAATTCTTTACCCAAGTTTTTTTTTTTAATTTTTTATTTTGTTATTTTTTTGTAATTACAGTTCTTTCAGTCTGTTATAAAATGGTTCAAGTTTAATTTGAACATTAAGAAGTTTTACGGTAGCATTTTTGGCTGTTTTTTGTAAGGAGCTCCATTTGAAATTGGAGTCTTTAAGTGTCTTACTGTTTTAAAGGAAGTGATTAATTATTTTGCTATGGCAGTTTATAATGTGTGATACTAATGACTTCAACCTTATATGGCCTTATATGGTGTTGAGATGTTTCTTTATTATTTAAGTTAAAGGCTCTTTTGCATATTATTTCTTAATTATAAAGAAAATTCTAAAAATAGGCCCTTGGGATCCTCTATGAAATGAAGTCAGATATGGGCCCAGAATTAGCAAGTTAATCAGAAATTGAAAAGTGTCATCCACGTCCTTTTGAAAGTCAAAGGAAACGTAAATAGCTCCTTGGTTAACTGTATGACTCGAATTTGATCTCATACCTTGCTCTATCTTCTCTACCGTATAAACTACACATTTCAAACTAAATATTAAGGTATTTCCTGCATTTTTTTTTACACTAAAGTCATTTTTTTAACCTAACATTCTGAAATTCTGATCCATATTTAATAAGTATCGGAACGTTAAAGAATTCATGTCATTCTCCCCTAAAGCATAGAAACTTGTTTGTTTGTATTTGGTTCGGTTTGTACTTCTTTATTAAATGTAAATGGTTTGGAAATCGGGAAAGCCGGTCCATACCCAGGAGGACTGCCAAGAATATCATTTTACAAGGAACCGAGGGCTGGAATAAGCAGCCAGCATTGTCATGGATTGGTCACCTGGGTAATTCACGGCTACCTTAGAAAACTGAGAGCAGCAACCTCAATGAGATACACACTAAAAATTAAATTAAAAAAAAAAGAAATCAGACATTTAGAGCTTGAGTCATAGCTATTACATAAGGTTCTCAATACCACAGACTATTGTTTTAGCCCCAGAATTTTTCTCTGTGCCTGGCAGATATTGGGTATGCAAAACAAGCTTCTTGACAAACAGATAAACATTAAAAAAAAATAAAATAAAACACTGAGTAACTTTATAATTGTATTGTACATGGAAATTTGAGATACCTGAGTTCTTTGCCCTGAGGGTGGAAAATGAAAATCTCAGTCACCTAGAGGAAAGGACATTTAAAACTAATTTCATCTGACTCCCCTCGATTTGCAGTTCCCAATTTCTGGTGTG